TGTGCTACGTGCATGTTTCATTCTGTCAGAGCAGGTGTGTTCGTCGGGACTCGATCTCTCCCCGTTTCTCCCGGGGTCGGTGAGAGGTCATGAGCCACTGCATAGCGTGCAGCTAATGCAGAATGGAGGGGTCGTGACCGCCTGGCCTCAGTGATTGGCCCGGTCCGCTGAGCTTAGCTAGGCCTCGATCGTTTGGGCTCAAACTTAGCTTTTGGTATCGTGGGCCGCCCGAGCAGCTGACTTATCGGTGCCTTAAGATACCCGTGGTATCATAACCCCAATACTTTGAAAGTCTCAAACAATACCTAGAATGTGTTATTTTAATGGTGACTTCCTAACCTCTGTTGAAGGCTCTACCATGACACCATTTATGAAAGTGGGTTTATTATTTATGTACACTTCATATTTTTACCTCACAAGTTATAGAAGTAAGATGATGTTAAGATTATGAAATGATCCTTGTAATGTATGCGATATATTTGTTAAGTTCCCATGTGCATATGCTTCCTGGAGAAAGCGTTCTTGGCGTAGCGGGATAGTTCTGTAAGGTTGAGGGGGAGAACTTCCCTAGAATAGTAACCCTTCATCAGAATTCTAGAGAATTCAAAATGATATGATCCAGAAGGTCACAATTTGTCCTGAAAACATATGTTATACTCTTTTTTCCTTGATGAATTTTCGTGAAGTTTCTCATGTAAGGCTTTTAATGAGGTAACAATGTGTAAATGCATTAAGTGACAATTATGTACTCTTTCTCCATACTTTTTCCATTGGTTTTTTTGTAGTTTTAACAAGGCATGTATTTGTCATGGTATTCGCCCAAGGAGGAGTGTTAAGAATTCCTCAATTAGAGGATTAATGGGCTCATACCATATATGCCCTGATGGGCTCAAACCATATATGCCCTGCAGGCATCTATATAAAGGAACCACATGTACGTCTACATTAACTAATGAAGATATGACTCCCCTCATATACTTGTCTCCGTGTGTTCTTGTGTGATGTTCTTGAGGATTGAGAGAGGGAGACGGGATCTATCTACAACTTCTACACGTCTATTTCTGTGATCGGGAATAGGGATAAAAACGGATCGGATACGGATGGATATCTTCGATATTATATTTGTTTTCATATTTCTGTCCGGATTTGCGGATAGTGTCAACCATGCCGGATAGGATACAATTAGATATCGACATCATAAATATGCGATTTGAGTATTCGGATATGGATACAATATCAGATGTTGAATATCCGGACTCGAATATGAACAGATTTGAATCCCTCTAAACGAATTTGGTCTCGAATACGATCGAAAAATATCTGTATCGTTTTCATACATAACCAGGAACGGGAAACGGATGTGATAATCCGTGAATATGCAATTCTCAACACTATTGATGCCAACTTTTTCCCAACGTAGTAGAGGCTATGGGACCATGACAAGACAATTCATGTACAGCCTTGCACTGAGTGAACTGTGGTTTCAACTTGTCCAGACCTAGGCAGCAGCCTGTTTGCTTATTAGTTTCAGCCGCCCAACAGTATTTTTCTTCCATAACAAATTAATACCAGTCAGATTTATCAATCTAGAAATAAACCAGCGAACAGGCCGGTTGAAGTCCCTCAGCGGGCAGCGGCTCAGCGCCGCGCGGCTGCTGCTGTAAGAGCATCTCCAACTGAACCCTCAAATTTTGAACCCCTATCCTTAAAAGTAGGGCTCCCTCATCCATATTCTATCCCCTACTTAGCTGTGAACTCCATCCGATCCATCATATTTGCCTCCCTACTTTCTTCCACCTCTATTTTATGCATATCTTGTAACTAACAAATCAACCATTTTTAACAGCTATATTTTCAATGTTTATACTTTTGATTAATGGCTACATTCCAATGGCCATTTTTTGTAATGACAATTTTTTCGACGTCTCTTTTTTAGAAGTCCATATTCCAGCAAATTTGTTGCAACGTCTCTATTTCAAACGGCTCTATTTCAAACGAATCTATTTTCAACGGCTCTATTTCAAATGGCTCTACTCCAAACGGCTATATTCCAACGTCTCCTGATTTTATCTTTATATATGCTTGCACACTCACCTGGTTCATACACCAACTCATTCGTTTTTTTGCTCCTTCTCTACTCTGTTGTTCCTTCTCCACCAGAAATAAGTCGTCTCTCTCGCTTAGATTCATCCTCATCTCATCCTCATCTTCGGATGATGATGATGAGCCTAAGCGATCAGTTTCACTGAGTAATAAACAGAAAAATAAAGCTATGAGTTTCCAGCTGCGCAAAATAACTAATTTAATGCATGGCTGAAGAAGTAACGTGAAGAAGTAACGTGTTTGCATTTTTCTGTTTTCCAATCCATGAATAAATGCCCTTATAAATCTGTCGAATTTTAAACTGAGAAAATGTTATCCCCGTTCATTTGTAGGTGGTACCAGTATTTAAAACTAAGAAAATGTTATCCCCGTTCCACCCATGGGAACATGGAACAAACTGATGCCATTCCTAGCCCATGCCTACGAAGGATCCAGATAACTTTGCCTAGTATCAAGGTGGCCACAAATGGTACTGCCGATATTTTAGATGAACGCAAAGTTGTTGGAGATTTCCACAGCAAAAACTAAGGGTGTGTCGAAGTTGGGGAGTTGAAAATTGTTGTGTGTCACATCGAATGTGTCGGAAGGATGTCGGGATGGGTTTTTGGATACTAATAAAAAAACAAATTACAGAACCCATCAGAAAACTACGAGACGAATCTAATGATACTAATTAATCGGTCATTAGCACATGTGGGTTACTGTAGCACTTAAGGCTTTTCATGGACTACTTAGGCTTAAAAGATTCGTCTCGCGATTTTGCCGAGAAATGTGTAATTAGTTTTTTTCGTCTACATTTAGTACTTCATGCATGTGTCAAACATACTCTTTTACTGTAGGAGCCAAAAAATTTTAGAAACTAAACAGGGCCTAAGGAATGAGCACAGATGAGCTAAATGAATTGCAGCCAGATTGGTGTTTAAAGGCTGCTGCCTAGTACAAGACAGCAATCTAAATAAGAGCATCACACTCCCACAATCCCAGTAGCAGCATTCACTCTTGACACGGTTGAGCATTCAAGGCAGCACAGAAGCATGGGTCGAATTCCCCCGAGACTGAACAGATCGGAGCCGCGGCAAGACCAACAAACAACAACAGTGGCGTCAGTCCACAAGGGGCAGCAAGATTTCGTGAAGAGAAGGAGGCCATGCGAGAATCATCAGATCCGGACGCGACGATCGCCCGCTCAACCCCAAAAACTAACCAAAATCGAGAAGCGTAGATCGACAAAGAATCCGGAAAGCCGAGATTCCGAGACACCGCGAGAAGAAGGAAGAAGATGAAAAAAATCCCGCATCACAAATCCACCACCAATAATCGACGTAAGAGGGCGAGGAGGAGGGGCCAGGGGGCAGCAAGAGCGCTGGCGGAGCTTGGCGACCGCCCCCAACCAACACGACGAAAGCGAAGGCTTCACCGCTCCAACCGACCGTAGCTGATCTATCTTCTCCCCACGATGGGATCTAGTAGATGCGGTCTCTCTCTCCTCGTCTCTACAACTACTAAATACGATTGGAGGATGGGCATATCTGGTTGATGATGGAGCCGGCACGGCAGCGTCGACGCAGAGTAGGCACGAGCGGAGATGTCCGAGCGCGCGCAGGCTCGCGACGGTTGCTCCCGCCGTGGATGAGGGATCTTGTGCAGTCCCCTACATGTGAGGGATGGGAGGCGATGGATGAGGGTCTCTCATCGGGTGGGAGTCGGATGAGGAATCGGTTGAAGAACTGTTTTTACGGTTTGACCCTCAAAAGATGAATAGGGGGCTAAGTGAGGGATCGATTAGAGACGCTCTTAATGGACTCAAACTTTACAGCCTGTTTGGTTGGCTGGTTCGTTTCGTTACTGGTTCGTGAAGAAGTACTGCTGGTTGGTTTGTGTGAGAAAAAATACTCTTTAGGTTAGAAATTTACGATCATTTACGACAAGCCACGACCAAACAAACATGTTTGTTAGTCCACCTTTCCAAAACCGCGACGTCGCCTCAAACCGAAACCAAAACCACCGCCATCGCGACACGATTATTACTACTCGTATCTAAAGATATGATTCGTTGTGGCTAACCGTACCAACAGTCCACGTCGCTATTATTTCGTGGCTGCTCGATCGGCAACGACGGCCCAGATCGGGCGGCCCGTCGCTTTGAAAAACCTCTTTCGGTTTGCGCCCTCTCGATTTTTTTTTAAAAAAGCCTCATGTTATTTCCAAATCGACGCTACGAACGGATGCGCCCGGTTTGTTTGCAAAAAAGACCTCCACTTTATCGAAATTCAACCGCCACACTCTCATCATTTTTTGCGAAAACATCCTCTCGATTTTTCTCAAATCAAAAAAATTATTATTTCTTTTCTTTCTAAAAAAAAAATGTGAGGCCCGTGCACCGCGCGCATGGCGCGGCTGAAGGACCATATGAGACGAGATGCAACGAATCCAACCAAAACCACGAGGCGGGTACCCCCTCCATGACACTGACGCGCGGGGCCAGCACGCACGGCATTCCTGTCCCGGCCCACATCTCACGCGAGTGCAGCCGAAAGAAGACGGGTTTTACGCCCAAAGGCCCCGTGGTTGCACGAAAATCCCGTGCACACCCCTCTGCGCCGCCTAGTAGTACAGTAGCACTGAGTAGTAGATATAAAACGACAGGTGCTGCCTCCTCCAATCCTCCGTCAGCCCACAGAACCAAACCAAGCACTGCCCCCACACGAGACACGACAGGTGCTGCCTCCAGTCCTCAGTAGCCAACACACGTCAAAGCGAAAAACCTCAGAACCCCCCCAGGAAATCGTATTATTCTCACTCTCACCCACCACTTCCCCCTGCTCTGCTGCAACTCCACTAGGCCGCCCCCCCCACCCCCGCCTTGATCCTCCGATCCGTTGGTGCTTGATCGATCCATGGACACCCACATCGGATCCGTGGACGGGCCGCCGGCGGCGGCGTCGAACCACACGGTGGGCTGCCCGGCGTCGGCGCCGGGGTGCCCGATGGCGTCCACGCCGGCACAGCCCGCGGCGACCCTGTCGGCGGGGGAGCCGTCGCTGGGGCGCCACCTCGCGCGTCGCCTCGTGCAGGTCGGCGTCAACGACGTCTTCGCGGTCCCCGGGGACTTCAACCTCACGCTGCTCGACCACCTGATCGTTGAGCCCGGGCTGCGCCTCGTCGGCTGCTGCAACGAGCTCAACGCCGGGTACGCGGCCGACGGGTACGCGCGCGCGCGGGGCATCGGGGCTTGCGCCGTCACGTTCACCGTCGGGGGCCTCAGCGTGCTCAACGCCATCGCGGGCGCCTACAGCGAGAACCTGCCCGTCATCTGCATCGCCGGCGGGCCCAACTCCAACGACTACGGGACCAACCACATCCTCCACCACACCATCGGCCTCCCCGACTTCTCGCAGGAGCTCCGCTGCTTCCAGACCGTCACCTGCCACCAGGTGAGTCCGTGCGTGCCCCCACTTTTGCAGTTTTGCTTGTGATTTTGGGTGGGTTTGAGTATCCGTTTCATCTGGTTGGTTAATGGCTTGTTTGCTTGTTCGTGGATTCAGGCCGTGGTGACCAATCTGGACGACGCGCACGAGCAGATCGACACGGCCATTGCCACGGCACTGAGGGAGAGCAAACCGGTGTACCTCAGCATCAGCTGCAACCTCCCCGGGCTGCCTCACCCTACCTTTAGCCGCGACCCCGTGCCCTTCTTCCTCACCCCTAGGTACCACCTGTCCCTTACAGATTCACAGGCTGCTTTTTTTCAGGTAACGTTGATAGTTGCTTTGCTTGGACCATGAAACTTTTCCACCAGACACCCCCACCACCAAAACCCTTCAGATTTGCAACGTTCTATATTTACCCCACTGTTGTCACGTTTGAACTGAACAACTGTTTTTGTTATTCGAGAAGTACCTAATTGAATAGGTAGCACCAAGATAATGCAATGTCATTATACATGAAGCCATCTGATGAAATCTTCAAACTAGATGAACAATCATCTTATGTGATAATGCAGTGTCATATAATTTCTTTTCAAAGCCAATTTAACGAGTGTCAAGACTGTAAACTTGTAATATGGCACTGCAAATGTGGGAAACTTGATGCTATCAGAAACCATGGTATTAATAATTCTGTCGTAATACTGCAGGATGAGCAACAGGATGGGGCTAGAGGCTGCAGTGGAGGCAACTGTCGAATTCCTGAACAAGGCCGTGAAGCCAGTGCTCGTCGGTGGCCCCAAACTGCGTTGTGGCAAAGGCAGCAAAGGCATTCGTTGATCTGGTAGATGCCAGTGGCTATGCCTATGCAGTGATGCCATCGGCCAAGGGTCTTGTGCCAGAGACGCACCCCCACTTCATCGGCACCTACTGGGGCGCCGTCAGCACTGCCTTCTGTGCTGAGATTGTTGAGTCCGCAGATGCCTACCTCTTTGCAGGCCCCATTTTCAATGACTACAGCTCTGTTGGCTACTCATTCCTCCTCAAGAAGGACAAGGCCATCATCGTCCAGCCTGAGCGTGTGATAGTGGGGAATGGGCCGGCATTCGGATATGTGATGATGAAAGAGTTCTTGTCTGAATTGGCTAAGAGGGTTAATAAGAACACCACTGCCTATGAGAATTACAAGAGGATCTTTGTACCTGAGGGCCAGCCGCTGGAAAGTGAGCCAAATGAGCCACTGCGAGTGAATGTGCTCTTCAAGCACGTCCAGAAGATGTTGACCGGTGATAGTGCCGTGATTGCTGAGACTGGTGACTCCTGGTTCAACTGCCAGAAGCTTAAGCTACCAGAAGGCTGTGGGTGAGCACTCTACTCTGTTCTGGAGTATTTGTTTCTCTTGAACTGTTCTGTGCCTTGTTCTCATGAGAACTGTCTGCGTGCTGCAGATACGAATTCCAAATGCAGTATGGTTCAATTGGATGGTCAGTTGGTGCATTGCTTGGCTATGCTCAGGGTGCAAACAACAAGCGTGTGATTGCCTGCATTGGTGATGGGAGCTTCCAGGTGAGGTTTCATTGCCTTATCAAACTATCTTTTGCTCTCTGCTGCAATTTGTTGGATGATGGCTCAATTCTATTGTGATACTGGGCCAACCTTATGCAGGTTACAGCACAGGATGTGTCAACTATGCTGCGATGTGAACAGAACAGCATAATCTTCCTGATCAACAATGGTGGGTACACTATTGAGGTGGAAATCCACGACGGACCATACAACGTCATCAAGAACTGGAACTACACTGGCCTTGTGGATGCCATCCACAATGGAGAGGGCAAGTGCTGGACCTCCAAGGTAAATTGTTTGCCCTTTGCCTAATGCTTGCCAGAAACACAAACATTTGAACTAGCAGATGATGTTGTTCAGCTGAAGAACTGGTACTAATGGATTGCAATGATAACTTGTGCAGGTGAAGTGCGAGGAGGAGCTGACGGCAGCTATTGAGACAGCGCTAGGGGAGAAGAAGGACTGCCTGTGCTTCGTCGAAGTGATCGCGCACAAGGACGACACCAGCAAAGAGCTGCTGGAATGGGGTTCCAGGGTTTCTGCTGCCAACTCCCGGCCACCGAATCCTCAGTAGAAAGTCTTGCAAGCTCCAAGCCTTAGACTCTCAGTAGTGATGGTAGCGCGGTGGGGTTCAATAGAATAACTTGAACGCATTGCCCTTTCTGTTACGTCGGTTCTTTTTTCTCGTGTTTCTGTGGTCCTGTAACTATTTGTGACGTGTTCCCTGTTTCTCCTATGTGAATTTTTATTGGATATATTATGGGCTTGGCCATATAATATTTAATAAATCAAATAAACTTATATGATCCATAACATTAAGCGTTGTATGGTTTAATACCGTACGGTATTTTGATTGAACGTTGACTCAGCTTATTTGGTTGGAAATTATTCATCTTAATTGAGAACCTGAGAAAAGGACACAGGGGTGTCACACGTGCCCCGCCGCTGCCGATCGGGCCGGGCTGAGCGGACGGGCGGGCGTGGCTAGGTTTTGTCACTTAATCTACATAATTACGGGAGTTTCTCTCTTTTATGGTGGAGACGAGTTGATTGCGCCAGTTACCGTGTCTTCGTCTCCTGAGTTCCTCGGCTGCCTTTCTCCCTCCCCGCCGTAGGCATTAAAGTAGAAGCCCTCCGTTAGTCCAATCTACCATTCGCTTCCAAGAGACCACATCTCAGCCGCCCTTTGGTTTTTCTCGTCCCGTACCTCTGCGCGCACGGAGCAACGGGAGAGCATGTGCCTCCGGAACCCTTGTCCGCCTGCGAACCTTGCACGGGGTGTGCGGCAATTAGGTTTTTGGGGAGCGATTTCGTGATTGCTCGTCCACGTCGCAGACGTCTTCTTCCTGGTGACCGTTCGTGGGACTGTATTGCAAACACCTTCCTACATCGACTGTGGTCCACGACTTTGAGCAACGCACTATGTCTGGTGCGAATGAAGCCTCCGATGCCCTCGGCATGGAACCCTCCGCTGGGTACACTCTTAACTCTCTGATTACCATACTTTGCGTACTTACTGTATCGATCGGTATGTCATACTTGTATGTTGTAGCGTTTATAGTGATATACACATACACATATATGTCGTCACGAACCTGCTGATGTTTTATTTCTGGATTAAATTGACCATGAAAATGCCTAATTATCTAACAATTCAAAAACCTAATGTTAGGCAATTTTCTGTCAGTGGTTTTGCTGCTGCTTTGAAGTCGAATATTTTTTATGGTAAGAATTTCATGATATGGCGTGCCAAGATGGTGTTGTGGTTGATTGCTATGAACTGCTATCACGCCGCACAGGAGAAGCCTGAACAATTTACTCCTGAGGAGGAGCAAAAGTTCTTGGCCGCCGATAACCTGTTTCGAGGCGTCGTGATTAGTGCACTCTATAGTAAGTATGAGAAAAACTACATATCTTGCACATCAGGCAACGAATTATGAGATGCTTTTGAGGCAAAGTTTGGAGTTTCTGATGCTGGTAGTGAGCTGTACCTTATGGAGCAGCTGTATGGCTACAAAATGGTTGAAAATCGTTCTGTAGTGGAACAGGCTCATGAGATACATGCACTAGCAAAGGAACTAGAACATTTTCCGTGTTTGTTTCCCGACAAGTTTGTGGCCGGCGGTATAATCACTAAGCTACCACCTTCTTAGAGGGATTTTGCTACTTCTCTAAAACACAAGAGACAAGAGTTTAGCGTGGCTGAGCTTATTGGATCTGTTGATGTTGAGGAGAGGGCGAGAGCAAAAGACAACCATGGAAAATGAGTTGAGTCTTCCGCTGCCAATATGCTGTAGAAGAAAAAACTCATTTGCATCCCGTAATAAAAAGAAGAAGAACATGCAAGAGAACAACAATACAAAGCCTAAGCAAACTGCTGAGTTTAAGAAGAAAAACAACAAAAAGGTGGATATTGCTTTGTTTGTGGGAGTGATGAGCATTGGACAAGTGCGTGCCCAGACCGCAAATATAAGTAAGAAAAAAAATCAGCAAACGTGGTGATTAACGAGACTGGAGCAGGAACATCTGGGTATGGTAATTCTTTACCTTTTGTTCTTTTAGTTTGTTTTTCACCTGAGTGGTGGATGGATAGCGGTGCTAATATTTATGTGTATATTGATGTTTCTTTGTTTACTTCCTATCAGGCCGGTGGGACTGGAGCCTTGTTGATGAAAAACGGTTCGCATGCGTATGTTCTTGGTGTTGGTACGGTCGTTTTAAAGTTTACTTCAGGAAAGACGGTGCTATTAAAGAATGCGCAGCATGTCTCCTCTATCAAGAAGAATCTTGTTAGCGGTTCTCAAATGTGTCGCGATTGCTTTAAAATTGTGCTTGAGTCTAATAAGTGTGTTATGTCGAGACATGGAACATTTGTTGGAAAAGGTTATGATTACGGAGGCTTGTTCCGCTTATCTTTGCTTGATGATGTGTGTAATAAAGTAGTGAACAATGTTAATGTTTCGAATGAGTCGAATATATGGCATTCACGACTTTGTCACATTATTTTTGGCTGTCTCACGCAGCTTGCAAATTTGAATTTAATCCCAAAATTTAACTTAGTCAAATATTCTAAGTGCCAGGTGTGTGTGCAATCGAAGCAACCGCGCAAGCCTCACAAGACTGCTGAGGCGAGGAACTTGGCACCATTAGAACTCGTTCATTCTAATTTATGCGAAATGAATGGCGAATTGACTAAAGGCGATAAACGATACTTGATGACATTTATAGATGATTGTACTAGATTTTGCTACGTGTATTTATTGAAAACTAAAGATGAAGCGTTGCATTATTTTAAAGTCTATAAAGCTGAGGTAGAAAATCAACTTGAGAAGAAAATCAAACGTTTGCGATCCGATCGCGGGAGAGAATATTTCTCAAATGAATTTTCTGAGTTTTGCGCGGTGCATGGAATTATTCATGAGAGGACACCACCATACTCACCACAGTCTAATGGGATTGCAGAGAGAAAGAACCGTACTCTAACTGATTTGGTTAATGCCTTGCTAGAGACTGTAGGACTATCTAAGGAATGGTGGGGTGAGGCTATATTAATAACGTGTTATGTCCTGAATAGGGTGCCCACAAAAACAAAGAAATTACATCATTCGAGGAATGGGAGAAGAAGAGATTAAATCTCTCTTACCTATAAACTTGGGGTTGTTTGGCAAAGGTAAATGTGCCAATAAACAAAAAGCGAAAGCTTAGACCAAAGACTGTTGATTGTGTTTTTCTTGGTTATGCTATTCACAACATGTGTTATAGATTTTTAATTATAAATTCTAGTGTTCCTGCGATGGCTGTTGATACAATCATAGAATCTAGAGACGCTACATTTTTTGAGAATAAATTTCTCATAAAAAATGCACCTAGCACGACTGGTCATGAATTTATAATTCCCATAAGAATAAAAATTTTACTCCGATAGAATAAATTAAGGAACCCTATATGCAAAATCCTGAGGACGATGACACTATAATCACTAGGAAAAGTAAGAGACAGAGGACTGCAAAGTCATTTAGTGATGACTATATTGTGTACCTTGTGGATGACACACCAACAACCATTGAAGAGGCATATTTCTTTTCTGATGCTGATTTATGAAAGGAAGCAGTACGGAGTGAGATGGATTCTATTATGTCTAATGGAACTTGGAAAATAGTTGATCATCCTTATAGGTGCAAGCCTATAGGGTGCAAATGGGTGTTCAAGAAAAAGCTTAGGCCTAATGGTACTATCGAGAGGTACAAGGCAAGACTTGTGGCAAAGGGTTATACTCAAAAGAAAAGTGAGGATTTCTTTGATACTTATTCACCGGTTGCCCGATTGACTACAATTCGAGTTTTGCTTTCCCTGACAGCCTCTTATGGTCTTATCGTTCATCGAATGGACGTTAAGACAGCTTTCCTAAACGGAGAGTTAGAGGAGAAGATTTATATGGATCAGCCAGATGGTTTTGTAGAAAATGGTTAAGAAGACAAGGTGTATAAATTATTAAAGTCATTATATGGGCTAAAACAAGCTACTAAGCAGTGGCATGAGAAGTTCGACAGAACTCTAACATCTGCTGGCTTTGTTGTGAATGAAGCTGACAAATGTGTATACTATCGATATGGTGGGGGTGAAGGAGTTATTTTGTGCTTATATGTTGATGACATACTGATCTTTGGATCCAGCTTCAAAGTGATTGAGGAGGTGAAATAATTTTTATCTAATAATTTTGAAATAAAAGATTTAGGAGAGGCTGATGTTATTCTTAATATCAAGCTTCTAAGAGAAGGTGATGGTAGGGTAACTCTATTACAATCCCACTATATGGAAAGGGTGCTGAGTCACTTTGGGTTGAGTGACTGTGAACCTGCTCCTACACCTTATGACCCTAGTGTGATATTGAGAAAAAAATCGAAGAATAGCAAGGGATCAATTGAGATATTTCTAGATCATTGATTCGCTCATGTATCTTGCTAGTGCAACAAGGCCTGACATCTCATTTATTGTGTGCAAGCTGAGCCGGTTTGTGTCAAACCTAGGAGATGATCACTGGCGTGCTCTTGAGAAAGTGATGCACTATCTAAAAGGCACTATGAGCTATGGTATTCATTATACCGGACACCCGAAGGTGCTGGAAGGCTATTGTGATGCCAACTGGATCTCTGATGCTGATGAACTTTATGCCACAAGTGGATATGTGTTTTCGCTTGGAGGTGGTGCTATTTCCTAGAAGTCTTTTAAGCAGACTATCTTAACGAAGTCTACAATGGAAGCAGAACTCACAGCATTAGGCACTGCTGGCTCTGAGGCCGAGTGGCTTCGTGATCTCCTTATGGATTTACCGGATGTTGAAAAACTCATACCAGCTATTTCTATGAACTACGATAACCAGACTGTAATTACGAATGTTAACAGTTCTAAGGATAACATGAAGCCCACAAGGCATGTTAAGAGACGACTAAAATATGTTAGAAAATTAAGAAACTCCGGAGTAATAGCGTTGGACTATGTTCACACGTCTAATAATCTGGCAGATCAATTCACTAAGGGTTTATCACGCAATGTGATAGAAAGTGCATCGAGAGAGATGTGTTTGAGACCCACATGAAATTTACTATAGTGGTAATCTGTTTTATGTGATCGGAGATCCCGTAAAGTAGAATGGTGAAACAAGGTAGTAGTAAATTGTGAGAAAAGATCCTTAGTAAGACTCATTTCTGATGCATATCTTTCCTTTCTGTAAGGCAGGTTGTTTTTTACCTTAATGTACTCCAAGTGGCTTGCTAAAGCAAAGATGTTGTCCTACAGAACATCTTTTAAGGAACACATCTATATGAGTCAGACTGCTGGTCATAGTTTATGAGATTTGGGTGATCCCTAAATACTCATGAAAGATACTAGAGTATGACTTATATGCTTCAAATAGAGGGGATGCCTTTTACAGCCTAGTATTAGCTAAGGACTTTAGTGACATTCACCTCATACAAAACCGTCAATTCAAGGCTTAGTCCATTGTTCAGTTGTGACTGAGTGAAACAATTGCTCTAGATGGATGTTTAACTTAACAGTCTTCATCGAAACACTAGTATATAAAAGAAATGTGGTTCTGAGACTACTTTGTTACAAACCCTAGAGTTTGGTGGAGATTGTTGGATATATTATGGGCTTGACCCATATAATATTTAATAAATCAAATAAAACTTTATGGTCCGTAACATTAAGCGTTGTATGATTTAATACCGTACGGGATTTTGACTAAACGTTGACTCAATTTATTTAGTTAGAAATTATCCATCTTAATTGAGAAGCTGAGAAAAGGACACAGGAGTGCCACACACGTGCGCGCGCCGCCGGCTGGGCCGAGGCCGTGGGCGTGGCAGGCAGGCAGGCGGCGAGCGAGCGGACGGACGGGCATGGCCAGGTTTTGCCACTTAATCCACATAATTACAGGAGTTTCTCTCTTTTATGGTGGAGACGAGTTGATTGCGTCAGTTACCGTCTCTTCGTGTCTCCGTCTTCTGAGTTCCTCGGCTAGCTTTCTCCCTCCCTGCTGTAGGCATAAAAGTAGAAGTCCTCCGTCAGTCTAATCTGCCCTTCGTTTCTGAGAGACCACATCTCAGCCGCCCTTTGGTTTTTCCTATCCCGTACCTCTGCGTGCACGGAGCAACGGAGAGCAGGTGCCTCCGGAACCCTCATCCGCCTGCGAACCTTGCACGGGGTGTGCGACGATTAGGTTTTTGGAGAGCGATTCCGTGACTGCTCATCCATGTCGCAGACGTCTTCTTCCTGGTGATCGCTCGCGAAATAGCAAGATGTCTTCTTCCTGGCGACCGTTCGTGGGACTGCACTGGGAACACCTTCCTGCATCGATTGTGGTCCACGACTTCGAGCAACACACTATGTCTGGTGCGAATGGAGCCTCCGATGCCCTCGGCATGGGACCCTCTGCTGGGTACACTCTTAACTCTCTGATTACCGTACTTTGCGTACTTACTGTATCGATCGGTATGTCATACTTGCATGCTATAGCGTTTGTTAGTGATATACACATACACATATATGTCGTCACGAACCTACTGATGTTTTATTTCTGGTTTAAATTGACCACGAAAATGTCTAATTATCTAACAATTTTCAGGTTGGTGATCACCCATTTGTGTTTGTGACTATTGGTGCTATGCTACCGGTGTGATTTTAGTGGTCAGGCGAACATCGTCGGCCACGGTGAATCATGTGATCCGCATCCTAATGCCGTTAGGAAGAGAAACATAGACGATATGTAGCTATAGATCTCTCTCTTTCCATAGCGCAGATGAGGTGATTGCACGAGGAGGATCTCGACATCAAGGCTTTGGCCGACGCGCCGGGGCTCTGCCTTCAAACTTCGATGGTGTTGACGGTGCTGCCTTGGCCCTCCACAGCAGGCCAGCGTCGACCTCGCTAGAAGATCCCGAAGGCTACTCATCTCGCGCTATTGCTGACACCAATCGTGATTGGTCCTCAATAAGAGGACGTGAATCATTCACAGGAGGCAGGAGGATGCTGCGCGATTCAAACCACGACTGACTCTGGCCTTCCGTCCGTCGGAGGTGCTTGAGTCTACGGCAACGGATCCATACACGGATCTCGTGGAATCAGCAACTCTCGCCGCCTCGCCGGCCTCAACGTCGTCACCTTGTTCTTCTTCTATACTATAATAGACCAATCAAAATTATACGAGGTTTTCCTAACAAAACGTTCCTCGCTGAGAGCCTCCAATCCTTGGGCACTTAGGAAATTGTATACATAAATTCGTCTCCATTAAAATCAAAGGCTAATAAAACACCCAAACCAAATCTGATAGCTACTGTTCCGTGATGCAAGGCTTCTCGCCCCATCCGCACTCCGCCTCATCACGCGAGGATTCAGGACCTGTTTGGATTGTAGCTGCTAAATTTAGTCCCTCTTAAATAGTTTAGTCCCATTTAGTTAGAGTTGCTACAGAAGACTAAAGTCTTTTTAATTTTATTTAGTCATAGTGTTTGATAAAATATATTTAAATGAGATTAGATTAGATTTAGGAGCTCTTGACCGAACACCCCCCCTCAAACGTGCTCCACGCCGCGTGGCTCCCCAGTCCCCACGTGAGCAGAGTTCGAGACCTTCTCCTTCCCCCCAATCGCGCACGACTCCCGCAGAAATTCCCGTCTCCCCGATCGCCGCCCTTCTCGCTGCCTGTAAACCCTAGCCGCCGCCTCCAGATCCCGATTCCGTAGGGAAGCAGGAGAGGGAGGGCCGCCCCGCCGCAGATGGAGCCCGCGGGGGTGCGCAAGGAGTGGCGTGTCGTCCCCGAGTCCTCGCTCCGCTCCAATGGCGCCAAGGTAGGCCCGCGTCGCCGCTCCGATCCCCTGACAGCACAAAAGCGTTACTCCTCCCACCACCATCCCAAATCACTCCCTGCTCTTGCTTGCGTCCCTTGCCTTCTTGCTCACGCGTTGGTTTCCGCCCGTGGGAATGTTGGGGATGACCGCTTTGGGTGTTGTGGGCACGGGAAGGGGCGGGTGGACTCGGCGACTTCTACGCCATCACCAAGCTCAGGGATGACATCCTGCAGCAGCACCTGTAGAGCATCGTGCGGCAGCGGGGGGAGCTGCAGGAGATCGAGATCGAGCTGCGCGCGTAGGCCATCGCACACCGGCAGATCATCGAGGTGCAACAAAGCTTCCAGGCGGCTACCAAGGAGCATGCCACACCTGTGGCAAAGATGATTCGGCAGTCAGGGGATGCGAGCGCTGATTTAGTCAACTCCAGGGGCTACGAGCTACAGTATATTATAATTCTCATTGTGCATATACGTATTGTTGCTTCTGTAATTCGGTTCAATCGTATCTGCTACGTATAAAAGTATTCACTTTTTTACTGAGCTTCTGAATATGCAAATTTACCATACGATTCTTGAGGATTTATGATTGGTGATGTCATTATTACAGGCAGAGCTGCTGATCCCTCAGTTGGAATTCCTCAATGAGGAAGGAGCACACGCTGAGCTCTGGGTGGTGTCACAGATTTTCGTGGACACACCTGACAGGACAGGTTTGAATACATGGTCGTTTCAGCATTGGACATGGCTATTACTCTCTCCAGCTTAGGATTGCACCACTCTAGCTCCTACCAAGCCCTGACTGATATTTGAGACTACAGATTACTACTTTGCAAATTTGTGGCTCTTGACCTCCTGTGATTTACGGTATGTATTTGTCAGTTTCTGATTCGACTCTCTATTTGCAGAAAGTTACTGCCATTTTCCCAGATGGTAGAGGAGCTGCCCTTCTCAAGTATCAATGGAAAGATGCACAATTCAAGTGTAACAGGTACTATCCACTGAGAAGTGATGGTTTCATAGCAAATTCACAATTTCGTAGCAAATTGATGTAACTTGTTGCATCTCATGATTTTCTGACTACAAGCGACATGCTACCTATTGTCATGAACACTACTATTTCGGGATTATAGAAGGTGCACAGTTATTTTATGATTTCGAACTTCTATAAAAATTAAGCTGTCCATTCCTTCAGAAGTACAAAAACACGTTGCTTTTATTCAGAACTACAACCTACTAGGTTACTAGGCGGCTAAGTGACTGAGTGACCATGTGATTGAGTGGCCGAGTACTTGAGTGGCCGAGTGCTTGAGTTGCCGAGTGAGTGGGTTCAGTTTCTGAGTGGCCGAGTGAGTGGGTTCAGTTACTGAGTGGCCGAGTAACCCAGTAATCGAGAGATGACAAATTGAGTGATCGAGTGACCGAGTGGCTCGGAATGGTTGACTGAGTGTCGAGTGACTGAGTGGCCAAATGAAACAAAGCAGAGTTGTATTGTATGACTGCAAGTTTCAGTGCAGAATTGCTTACCACCATCTAAAGCTTACTTTGGAATACTACTTCTGAATGAGGAATTTATTTGGTGGAAATATTTTGGGCCTTTGATCGCGGACAACAGATCGATGGGCCTGTCACAAGGACAGAGCAGCTCCACGATGATGTCTGTGTTTGTTGCAAGTTTCTGTTTATATCGTCATAACCAAGTATCTCTTCAGTAACTTGTCTGTGTCAGACAGAAGAACTGAAACAGAACATTGGCTCCTCTGTTTGTTTGAAGCTGCTGATTTCAGGTGCCTCAGCGTGCAGGTGTGGCGTAAGATGTGGTACCAGAAAATGAAGATGAAGCTCATCGTCCTCGACATCATCGTCGCGCTGATCCTCATCATAATCCTCTCAATTTTCCAGGGCATATGCGGCAAGTGATTTAGTTTGCTGGAGATGGCTGGGAATAGCAGTGAGTCGGATTATGTGCTATATCAAAATCTAGCTTGGTTTGTTTATCAAAAAAAAAATCTATCTCGGTTTGAGCAAGGCTCCAGGGAGTGCTGACGCTTTCCTCATGATCATGGCCAAGAAGCTCCACAATGGTCTCCTGGTAATTTTCCACCTTTCGTTTGTGTGAGATATATTTTTGAATCTCGTATTTTATTGTTGCTTGCATATGACGCTTGTCTGATTTGGTCAGGAGGAGGTGACAGTGGAGAGGGCGGCGACGACGGACGAGTGGCTGCGGTACCTCGAGTTCGTGCGGCAGGCGGTGGCGCAAGTGCTGGTGTTGGCGGACGCACCATACGCATATGCCAGGTAGGGAGTGGGTCTGCTCCGCCTAGTGTCGACCACATTGAGGGCACCGTCAAGGCTGTCGTCGGCCCCGTCTACGACCGCTTCCACGTCGTCACACTCGACCTCCTCAAGTTCATCGGCCGCAAGTAAGGAGGACTGGAGGAGGGGTCTCTAATCTGATTTGGCTCTCTTCAGATGTTGAAATTGGGCCACAAACTAGGCGATAATTTCAATGAAATGAAATTAGCAGGTGTAGGTTCCAGGATGGCATGAAATATTGTGTATGTGCACCATTATTGGCATGCTTATTACATAAATACACTATGTTATATTAGGTAAACTGAGTCTTTATGTTTTTCACTATCTTGATCTTCTGTAGTATGTTATTGCTGGTCTCCTCAGGACAATATGCCATGACTATGACAGCACCATTTGGGATGTTCGCATGGTCGGGAGTTTCTTGCAACTGCTGTGTTGGTCATGTTCTATAAATGTAGCAGGCATTTCTAAAAAATGCATTTTGTTGATAGTTATAAAAAGGTCAAACCAGACCTGAGGGCATTGATCTCACATATTTTTCTTTCATAATTAGAATTTGTGAGTACCTAGAAAAGTTACTTAACGTTACTTAACGTGACCGGTAGCGTTAGCACGAATAATATACTAGCCGGATCATGTTGCACTTTTTTACTTAGCTGTACGATGGTCTTTAGGATTCGTGTCAGCTTTGTAGATTAAATGTCGCACTTCTTACTTAACCGCGTTGCTGGAGGATCAGGCGCCGATGCGGTGGTGATGCGGTGTAACTAGTGGTGATGCTACGGTGGGCCATCTCGTAGGCGGCGCCTGTTTAGTCGGCTGCATGCTGAGGAAGAAGCCGGGTACAGCGTTGTGGACCGTGAAACCATGCCAACCCGTGAGTGGCCTCCAAAACGGTTTGTCGTGGGCTGGTTTACGGGTTGGGCCGGTGTGTAACTGAACTATGTAAAGGGCTAACTGCATCTAAAAACAAATTGCAGTGGCAGGTTCATAACAAACTTTTTTGGCGAGTGTGTCTTTGCGACACGTATTTCATTAAGCAGAAGTAGAATTTGACTGGTTACAACATTCCCAAGTAATCCATAGATTACCGTGGAAGGACAGAAGCCAACACGACCCAAATAAACCTAACTTAAATTACATTACAAGAAAGTTGTGCAATCAACTGGGCAGGTGCCAATGAGACTAGCAAGCCTCCTCGAACATACACTTGAACCCCGCCATGTCAAACTTCATAAGCACTCGAAGTGCGGCCCTTTTTGCGGAGTCGAGCTAAAGTCTGCTGGAAGTATGCCACTACCTGGGAATCCGATGACCGTGAGGCGGAGCGTTCCCACTTGGACACAAGCACCTTCTGCGCTTGAAGGGTGGCGTTAGGGGCCCGAGAGGCACACTTAGCCGCCAGACGCGTGCTACGGCGGATGGTGACTGACAATGGAGAGCGACGGGTTTGACGTCGGGGTGGCGCCTTGAGGATGGGAGTCTTCAGCGGGGCGGAGATGCGCCTAGCAAACTCCCTGGCGAGGGCCAAAACTGGTAGATCGTCACCATCCACCCCTGGCGCCTCAGCATCCGCGAAGCTGAGCTGAACCATCCGCGGTGGCGAACGGGTGTCCGCCAACGATGCCTGAGCCTCCAGAGAGGCCGCAGTCGGAGTAGACGGGTGCCCCAACGCTGGAGCACTCGCAGATCGACTCATGACAAGCGAGGTAGTGAGCTCATCGAGCATCGGGTCGACCCATATGGGAGGCCCAGCGCCCTCGCACAGAACCACCACGAGCAGATCAGACTCATGGGAGCAGCGTGCGGCAGTAGAAGTAGCGACGTTGTTAGTCGCGGCAATGTTGATCTCCCTCGGCAACTTGCTCCGACGCCGACAGTGTCGTCGACAGAAGCCGTTGGTGCCCTCCACAGCCATTTGCGCAGCTCTGTCCGAGCCACCATGTGGCGCGTGCAGGGAGGGCTGTGAGTCGTGACCCCCTGCCTCAGACGCCGTCGCCGCGGCACGCCTGGGCCACTTGTAGTCCCTAGCGAGGTGACGGTAGCCGTGACAGCGCAGACAACGCCATGGCAACCGGCAGGTTGCTACTCGGTGTGAGTAGAAAAGGCAGTTGAAACATATGCCGTGTAGCTCTGCCGGGATCTTTTAGGCCTGTGGAAGCTGCTTCTCGATCGAGGCGGCCCCAGGTCGTGTCCCCAACCATTAGAGAATCTCACTCCACCTATGGGGACCCGCCGCGTTAATTCGCCTAAATCAAGTGTCATCCACTTGACTGACCTAATTTAAGCAAACCAACGTCGGTGACTCCCCAGGAGCGCTCCTTGGCAACTCCTCCTCAGGATCAGGTTGAGTATCATACCACAATAGCCTCCACAACTCAAGATTACATCTCATCGTCGGAGCACAAAATAATTCAGTGGAAACATATATTACAAGTCTTGTTGAATATAATAAATTGATTCTACAACGTAAGACTAAATGTAGTGTGAACCAAATGACTCTCTTACCAACATCGCTATGCTATGAATCAATTATATATCTAGTAACTGGTGGTAGCCTTGCCCATGGGCGTCACCAATGTAGCTTGGACGGCACATGCCATTCACCCACTTTGCCACCAACGATGGGGTGAGATGGCCACCATTGTCCTATACCTACAAAACAACTTAACGGCAGCACCGTGAGTACATTGCATACTCGTAAGACTTAATTCCAACATATAATATTTGGTGGATGCAAAAGGTAATATCAGGTATTTGTACATTTGCAGAAAAGCAATGGCGTTGCTTATAAGTATGACATACCATGTTCTAACTCTTAAAACGAAAGTATTTAGTTATTAGTCATGTATCACATAGAGGTCCATAATCCATCAACAACACTACCATGGGTATAGAAAGTAGGAACAACCGAATGATTCTGTCTCGAGGGACTTCAGGCTTTCAAAACTCTGCAGAGGTGTACAACTGTATCCACACGGAATAACAGGACTAACCCTTGCGTGAGAGTAAGGGTTGCCTCACGTCTTCCAACCTTTCCCTAATCCGGCCAGAATGTCACATGAAAGGTTCAACTAAATGCCCGGATCAGGTTTCTACCATCTTCCCAGTTCCTCGGGTCAGGCTTCTGTATTGTAATGGTTTCTTGGGTTGTTACATACACCATCTTCCCGGCGCCATCCCCATTGCCAGTTTCATGGATAGACCAGTCGTGATTAGTTACTTGGCTTGTCGACCCCATCCGCGACGTGTGGTCTGTATGGGTGGTTACTCGGACTCACATATCCCAATACTCGGTTCTTAATGTTCCATGAGCTATGTCATTTAAGATCCCACACTCATAACAACCTACCCCTTGCATGAACCATAATTATCAAGGTTATTATCAGGATTAGAACATTAAGTAATATTAGTCCTTAGCCAAATTAGTAAGGTAGATCAAGTTGTACCCTCATTAGTTTTAGTAGTTAATTATCTAGGTGTAGCATCCAACACATGCGATTATGAGTTTCCTTCTCATGCTCGACTTCTACCGTTGCTCAAACAACTAGGCAGTAATCAATTACGTGTTCCCATTCCCATCGTTTAGGTGAAGGGCTTCTAACAGATTAATAAGTGACTCTAGGTGTAATGTAAACGAGACCACTATCCAAGACTACATGTAATTCATAACTCATAATGAAACTCAATAAGTATCCAAAATAGGGTTGATAGTAGTGGGGTGCCTGCCTGTTGGATAAGTAAGGATCCCATAGCTTGAAACATCGCTGGACATCTCTCCGATATCACGTACCTATATATATGTCCATGTATGAGATACTTATACATGCATGACATTATATTAAACATGAAAGAGTAGAGAGTACAAGATATGAGGTGTCATGCAATGATATTTATTTAAGTTAGTTGTAGTGTTACAAGAGTGAGTGTTTAGGTATGAATTGAAGGACTGTCGGTTTGTGTTATCGGATAGTTCGGCTTGAATGTCAGACGGTCCGATGGTTCTGGGACTTAGTGGGAAAAGGACATACTGGGAACATTGGGCTCTCGAATCTAATATCGGACCCTCCGGTATTAGGTCAGTGCTCTTGGAAACCTCCATGTGTTTGGTTTATAATTCAACAGACTGTTCCGTTGTGATGACGGACCATCTGTCAAATTAGGTCTATAGGATACTAGTGGTTGCTAAGTGTTCATGTTCCACCAAATACTCCGTTATGTGCGACAGATCATCTATCAAATTAGGTCTATAGGATACTACACGACATTCCTGTCCTGGCCCACATCTCACGTGAGTGCACCCCCACGCGGCCCTTGGTTTTCGCTGAAAGAAGACGGGTTTACGCCCAAAGGCCCCGTGGTTGCACAAAAATCCCTTGCACACCCCTCTGCGCAGCCTAGTACAGTAGTAGTAGATATAAAACGATAGGTGTTGCCTCCTCTAGTCCTCCGTCAGCCCATAGAACCAAACCAAGCACTGCCCCCACATGAGACACGATAGGTGCTGCCTCCAATCCTCCGTAGCCAACACACATCAAAGCAAAAAACCTCAGAAAACCCCTAGGAAATCATATTATTCTCACTCTCACCCACCACTGCCCCCTGCTCTGCTGCAACTCCACTCGGCCACCCCTCCACTCCCCCTGAGTGGAGGGGCAGCCGAGTGGAGTTACAGCAGAGCAGGGGGCAGTGGTGGGACATTGCGTACTCACAAGACTTAATTCCAACATATAATATTTGGTGGATGCAAAAGGTAATATCAGGTATTTATACATTTGTAGAAAAGCAATGGCATTGCTTATAAGTATGACATACCATGTTCTAACTCTTAAAATGAAAGTATTTAGTTATTAGTCATGTATCACATAGAGGTCCATAATCCATCAACAACACTACCATGGGTATAGAAAGTAGGAACAACTGAATTATTTTGTCCCAAGGGACTTTAGGCTTTCAAAACTCTGCAGAGGTGTACAACTATATGAACACGAAGAATAGGACTAACCACCATATCCTTGCGCGAGGGTAAGGGTTGCCTCACGTCTTCCAACCTTTCCCTAATCCGGCCAGAATGTCACATGAAAAGTTTGACTGAATGCCCGGGTCAGGTTTCTACCATCTTCCTAGTTCCTCAGGTCAGGCTTCTATACTGTAATGGTTTCTCGGGTCGTTACAAACACCATCTTCCCAGCGCCATCCCCATTGCTAGTTTCATGGATAGACTAGTCATGATTAGTTACTTGGCTTATCGACCCCATCCGCGACATGTGGTCTGTACGGGTGGTTACTCGGACTCACATTTCCCAATACACGGTCCTTAATGCTCCACGAGCTATGTCATTTAAGATCCCACACTCACAATGACCTACCCCTTGCATGAACTATAATTATCAAGGTTATTATCAGGATTATAACATTAAGTAATATTAGTCCTTAGCCAGATTAGTAAGGT